CTATTTGGGTGTCTCAACTTCCTCAAGTCAGGACTGAAGATAATATAAACATGTAATTTAAAACATATATATCATAAAAAATGTTACATAACTTTCTGTCTCAGTGACTATATCCAGATTATAAATTTAGAACCAGTATGTCAATGGACAGTGGCCTTATGTCACTGTCAAACCTTTTGGCATCTTATGCAATTTACCAACAAAACCACTCAGAGAAAATTCAACTGACATACAAACACAAATCTACAAAGACATAAGATACAAATAATCGAAACAGTCAGGAAATATGCAGCAAACAGTGTAACACTTAGAAGGAGACGTGTTATTAGGTCTCAGCCACACTTGGTTGTCTTCGTATTGTCTCATGTGGCTTCTTCCTTGTTCTTTATGACAGGTGCTGGATGGGTCTCCCATTGAAGTGACTCTAGCCAAACCAGTGGACAAGGACAGTTATGTTAGGTATACCAGAGGCACAGGTGGAAGGGGCACCACATTGCAAGGAGAGTACACCTACTCTTTGGGCCATGTTTATGATCCCACCACAACCTACCTTGGAGCTCCTGTCTTCTATGCCCCCCAGGCCTATACAGCAATTCCCAGTCTTCATTTTCCAGCTACCAAAGGACACCTCAGCAACAGGGCCGTTATCAGAGCCCCTTCCGTTAGAGGTAACATCAGTCAGCTCTTGCCTTAGAGTAACCCCAAGATTTCAAATGATTTGGATTGCAATAGCCTTAGACAAATTGGATGGGTCCACTGGGAGAAAAGGACTGGAAATTTGTTTGTTAAAAATCAAATATTATATCAATATTTTTCCTTTCATAGGAATATTTTTTCACATTACAACTGGTTATTGAAAAAACTTGGTCAGAACATAGTGCAAATGAGCCTAGTGTACAAATTTTATCTTTGCATGGGCCCACAAAATTTGCACAAACTAAAATCTAGTTCCATAATTGTTAGCTTCTTCTGTATCATTAGGCAACCAGCTTATAGTAATCTGTTGACTCATTACAACACTTTCAGGGGAAAGTAGTATAGGCCAATGGAAATCAATTACCTCAAACAGCAAAAGCATTTCAAGGTACATGTGTATATGATGGTGATTCAGTGGCATCACCTTTATATATAAATCACAAGTTATCATAAATATAGTTTAACGCTCTCATCTGACCTGCCCACATATATTAGATGTTCTTATCTGACATGTTAGACCTTTGGAAAAGTCAAACTATTAAGAAAATCAACTTTTTTTCTTTGGTATATGGGGAACTGAATAAACTCCAAATAGGAAAAAAAAAAAATTCAATCTGACTGCCAGACAGTAAATATTTCACATTTGAATCCTTTAAGAATTTTAAATGTTTAAGCAGTTTTCCAATCTCAGTTAGTTCAAGCAATCTAGAAGATAAAGAAAGCATTTTTTATTTCCAAGAAACTATTAATAGTTTGTCTCTGTCTTTTGAGCTCCTTCAGACTGATTGTTCTAGTATGTGGCTAATGCCTACAGAACTCCAGTTGTATCTTCCAGATCTGATAGCCATCTGGGCAATTCAAAAACAAACACTGTATTTAAATTTATTCTTGGGTTTGACTTAGAAGCAAAGGGCACATCCAGATTACTGTGGAAACAATTATTTTAACTGTGTTTTGCTATTTTTCAGAAGAACAGAATTGACCATCCTAGGAGCTCTAGTCTTCGACAGCCTTAAAAGTTCCATACTCATAATACAATCACTCTCCCAGAAATTGCAATGCAATAGAAATCATCAGGATTTCCTTTAGGATAACCTGTCTATATAATGACAAATTATGTCATTGAAACATTATGCATTTATAATGTAAAATCATTTCGTTAATCAACCCATACATTAAATATAAGTTGTCAACCAGTTGTGATGTGGAAAACAAAAACAAACTCCACTCTAATGGAAAAAATGCCTATCTTAAAACAAGAAAGGAATCAATGAATAATATTCATGGATGAAGGGTAATCGATTTAATTTTTTATCTCTTTATGCCACCAATAGGAAATCAAAGTAGCAACATGGCACAACAATAATCAAAAGGAATCTATGCATGAAACGCAATGGAAATTTAAGCCTCACATTGACAGAACATATGAGAGAGGATGGTGAACTTAAAAACATGCTTTTCTAAATGTTGGTTTTCCAATAAATCATTGGAGGTGGGATCACTGGGGAAGCTAGGATTCATTTCTCATTTACTGATCAGTCACAGTCCCTATGCAAGACTGATTTCAACACAAGGAGTCATATTATGTTGGAATGTTTTAATAAACACATTCCTAGCCTCTATTAGTCTACAGAAAATGTCAATGAAAGGTTAACTGAAGACAGATATCGCAAAACTTCTCTCTGTGCCAAAATTTTTAAATTGCTCATGTACTTATCCATAGCTTTGATGGTATCGTTTTCTCCCACAGGTAGTTTAAAAGAGACAGAGAGAGAGAAATGTTGAACCTAATCTTATGCTGAGCTTCATTACGTTAGAATCCTAGAATTTCCGACCCATCTTCAGGGCAGTAATCAGTGTGACGTGGGCTAACTTTTCCATTACAGTAAGATTCAGGGTGATTTTCTGGTGGTTTGATTCAGCTTAATGCCTTCTTACATTCCTAGAAATTTACATGAATGTACCTGTAGGGGCTGCGGGAGTGAGAGGACTGGGCGGCCGTGGCTATTTGGCATACACAGGCCTGGGTCGTGGATACTCGGTCAAAGGAGAGAAGAGAGAAGACAAGCTCTATGACATCTTACCTGGGATGGAGCTCACCCCAATGAATCCTGTCACTCTAAAACCCCAAGGAATTAAACTTGCACCCCAGGTAGGTAATATTACTCTAGATATAGTTTTCTAAGTTGAGCCAATGACCGTCACTTACCTTTCATCAAATGATTTGATTTGATCCTTAACTTGAGCTAGTGTGTGTGTGTTCGTGTGTGCGTGTGTGTGTGTGTGTTAATAGATAAAGTAGCCAATCAACATGATGTACTTTGAGGGAATGCTGAGCCTTCAGTGCCATTATTGCATTATAGGACCTTTCCTTTTTTTAATCATAAAGTTTAAAACCTTAAATAATCTTCCACGGAAATGCAAATAGCCTAAGATCTATTGAAAATTATCAACCAATACTTTAAATGGAAATCAAATGAGGCAAAGACCCCATCTCAGAATAAGATGTTTGTGAGCCTATCATGCGTGAGCCAGGTTGATTGGCAAATGAAGACTATTCATGACAGGGAACCCTGACCAATCTATTTAGGACATCTTTTCTTGGAAACGCTGTGTCTAAGAGAAAGCCCCACCATGATATCTAAGTCAATCTTTAACTAGGAAATGTCATCAGTCATATCAAATTGTCTTCTACAATGGTTATATTTGGGAAGTGGCATTATGGTGAATTTTATTGCTTTCATTTAACAGTTCTAAATTTCCATGTTTCTGCATGAGGCTGTGGTTTTTATTATTGGGAAATTAAAAGTTATAAAACTTGTTCCAGTATGGAAACTGAATACCAAGGTTAAAAATAAAACAAAACAGGATCCTTGTTAAGCCTTAGACTTTTTCCCTGTGGGTGTGCAGTATATGCTGATCTTTCTGAAATACAATTTGGCAGAATAACCAGAGTTATAGTGTCCTGAAGGAAACTTCCCTACTCCCATGACAAATGTATAAGCCTCACATTTTTGGAAGTAGCCCTTATGATTGCAATCAAGAAAAACACATGGTTTTCTGAAAGCTCATCTTGGGTATTTTGTTGTTACTGTTGCTGTTGGGATTAATGGTTTTCCCTTACACACAAATTCATTCATCTGAGGTTTCTGCTCACCCTGCCCAGGCAATTAAAAAGAAGAGAATGCCTACCAGAGAGCTAAACAACGATCACGTGTTTGTTCAAAAAGCATTTATTGGGCTTCTCTTATGGACCATGTGTTGTGCTACATGCTGGAGATGTAAAAGTGAACGTAACAAAATCCTTACCATCAAAAATTAATGGCAATCAGTGGGGGATCTGACACATAAACAGACCATTATAATGAGATCTGATAAGTGATGTGACGGAGCTTGCTCAGAAAATACAAAAGCTAATCATCCAATCTCTCTCGGGTTAAAACCCAAAATAAAGAACCTAATTAAAGTGCTAGAATACCTAGAAATTTTTAAGAAAATAAAAAATACAATAATCACAAATTCTGTCTAATAGTTCTGAAAGCTGCTATAGCATAAGAAGAGGTCTCTTCTTTTTATATTAAACTCAGGTGAGAAATTAACTGGACATTCTTTCTATTACTATGTGAGTAATGATCTCTATCAGTGAAAGCTGTTTCATTTGTCTGTGAATTTTTACAACTATGGCCTAGAAATTGAAAGCCATGCCACCCCCAACCGACATAGGTGGAGCCTAAACAACCCCATAGCAGAGCTGCAAACTTCCAACCAGAACGGCAGAGGCACAGGGGCTGCCCCACGAAGTCAGCAGTTAGAGCAGCTGCTCTTTTAGCGCGTGCTTGCTCACCTGACATAGACAGGCAGGCACAGTATCTGCCAGCAAAAGCTACTTTATTATTGCCCAGAGACTGTAGAGAGTGCTTTGCAGACAATAAGAGATGCTAAAAGAGTATTAAAAAGAAAAAGTTAATAGAGAAAATAGGAGCAATCTACAAATTAATAAACTGGAAAATGTCATGGTATTGCAGTTAGATTAATACTAGAACAAATGAGATAAGAAACTCCAGGGATGCATCTCGAGGTATTGTTCAGTCTCACAGTTATTTTCTCAGCCTTATGTCCTGTTTTGCACAGTACACTCAATCTGTTGACTAAAGGAAGCATCAGTACTTCTGGGCCACCAAAAATGGCCATGGGATGAAGAACATCTGAGTCTTTAGAAAAGATTTAGTTTGTAGTAATTACAGAAGGAGAAAAAAAAAAAAAACATGTAGGAGAATGCTACAAAACAGATTGTCATAAAAGTAGCCCAAAGTGGTGTCTTACCAAACAAATTTTTAAAAAAGTTGCAACTGTCAACACCCATCTATGAATGCTCATCAATAAATACTAACCCGTTAAACATTTTAACTCTATTATTATGAAAATGTGAGGTTCAAACTCTAAAACAAATGACATGAAATAAGAATATGTTCTTAGATTATCCTCTCTCAACCATTATAAACAGTGATATTGGGAGTAATAATGAGTAAATCTAGCCAAACCGTGTTGGAGCATTAGCATCAACTTTTAAAAAATAGAATAAATATACCAACCAAATCACAAAATTAAGCCCTTGGTAAAAAGTTACAGCTAATGGACTAAACTAAAAACATGTTAGAGTAAATGATGTGAAAATGATTTTTATGAAGTATTCAACATAATATTTTAAATGGAGTTCAAATCGAGTTCATCTAAAATTTCATGAGTCATTAGACCATGTGGCATTTTATATCTTCTCATATTAGTGTAAACGCTGAAGATCAGAGTTTAAAAATCTGAAAACTGGAGAAATAATGCAAATGTGACACTTAAGGGGGAAATCGCTTTTTTTTACTCTTGTAGATATTAGAAGAAATTTGTCAGAAAAATAACTGGGGACAGCCAGTGTACCAGCTGCATTCTGCCATTGGACAAGACCAAAGACAACTATTCTTATACAAAATAACCATTCCTGCTCTGGCCAGCCAGAATCCTGCTATGTGCGTAACTTCTCCAAATTCCCAATAATTTTGATTTTAGAATAAGATATGCTTATCCACTAAGTGCACACAGTCACTATCTAAACAACATAAATATTCAAGTCTACTACCTACTCATTTGTCATTAAATGCAAACATGGAGATGTGTAGCTGGGATGTGCCAGCTGTGAGACGGGCATCTAAAAGCCCCAATAGAGACATATGGACAATGATGACCGTGTAGTATTATCAACCAATGGAAAACAGTTGGTAATGGAAAATATAGTAGATATAAAAATTGTAAGCCATACTTTTATCTGTGTTACTGATTTAGTTTGAACTGTATGAAATTGCCATTTTTATACATAACCACACCATGCCCTATCATTTACATTTTGGACCAAAGATATGACCACTCTGTTAGGGAATATCACCTTCTGAATTTTACCTCGAGCCTGCATTTCTATATATTTTAGAAACCATTGTGTTTCTAAACACGTGTACTTTAGAAAAGCCATGTAAAAAAAAAAGCCAAGTTACATGTATGCCACAAGAAGGTCATCAACCATGGATGTTCTAGGTCAATTCCCAAATATTCCTACATGCAGCCTAACTTGAGAAGCTTTAACAGCAAAGAGATGAAAAATACCCACACAAAATCCCATCATCCAGTCATCATACAAAGTTGACAGTGCCTTAGGTTTTCACCTGACTCAGTAGCGCAAGTTTGAAAATGCCTAGCCTGACTGACTGTGCTTTCCAGCCACCCTTTCACGCCTCCGAAGCTAAGTGCCTACGTGGATGAAGCAAAGACATACGCAGCCGAATTCACCCTGCAGACGCTGGGCATCCCCACCGATGGAGGGGACGCTGGGACTGCAGCTGTTGCTGCTGCTGCTACGGCTACGGCTTTCCCAGGTATGGAAAAATTGTGCCAGATATGGCACCCCCAGAGAGTGTTTGGGAAACCCTTCTTGGTACCATGGACTCATGGAAATGTTTGTGAAGCTTACCTACAATAAATCAGACTTGCACCATCTGGGGACCAAAAAGAGTTTGCCAGATGAGTGACCCATTAAAGCATAAGGCAAGAAAATGGAACTGGGCAGCAGAGTGGGTTCAGGTCTCAGCTCACCTTTAAGCCACTGCATGATCTTGAATGTGTCACTCACTCTGAATCTGGTTTGTTTGGGTTTGGTTTGGTTTGGTTTTTACTTTTAGTAAGAGAGTTTGGGACTACTACTAATAACAGGTGTTTATTTGAGCTCTTACTATGTGCTAGGCACTCACCTAAATGCTCAGCAAGTTTTGTATTATCTTACAAATGCTCATGACGTCAGTAAGAGTTAGGTTCCATCAGAACACCCAGTGTACTGATGAAGAACTCAAGTTCTGGAAAGATGAAGTAATTTGGCTAACATCGATTAGCTTTTAAGACAACCTTACTCTCCCTCCCAATTCTAACCTCCCATTTACTTCTATTATTTTGATTTGAAAGAGATGTGTAGATCACATTTTTCTTCAATTATTTTAAGTCAAAAATTGTATGATGGAGTGAGAAAGAGAAAAAGACAAACAGATCTTTTCAATATGTGAATAATCAGGACTCGATTTCTCTGTTCTGTAATTTTGGTCTGGGGCATATGGTGATTGCTTAAAGTAAAGCTTATCTGTGTGGATCAACAACGCCTTCAGGGGTCACATTTAAAAGACTTTCCCCCGTTTATTATGTACCCACAACAAATGCTAATAAAAATGGAGCCTTTAGAGATTAAAGGGGTCCAGGCAAGAAACTTCTTCAGGAAAAATTTTCTCAGCAGTTAGAGTGACCCCATATTTTTTTAGCAATAAAGGTTTATTTCTAGTGAAGAAATTTGTCATTCTGACTGTCATTGTGTCAGTATGTGCCCCATAAGCCCAAATTAGAGAGTTCTAACTGCACCTAGAAATATGACATTCCTATTAATTGATTAATTCATACATAGGTCATGTGTAGGTGTGAGAACATCTCTCCTCCTCACATCCACAACACCTGAGGCTCGCTCTTGATTTTCTTTTTTTTTATTTCCCAAAAATTTTGAATATATCCTCCATTCTGGCAAGTGAGGCTAAAATTAACCATGCTTCACATGAATGTGACCTCAATTCTAGCTTTGTTTCTCAGTAAGAACATGGATACTCTTTGTGGTGAGTCCCTGGGAGGTTACCAAGGCAACAGCTGACACTGCAGAGAGCAAAGGTCCTCCCTGGGCAGGGCAGGGCCATCGGCCCCTGTGCTTCCTTTCCACGTAACAGGGTGTTTGCATGTCCATCTACTCGGGACTTGTGCCAGGGCTTCTCAGTTCTTGGAGAATGTTCAGCCCCTGTCTTGTAGAAAGCTGCACCCCGAAGACACCTAACTCATGTACTATAAAAATAACGAGCCAATGTCAGGAGAATCTTAAAGTTTGCTTTCACATTGGAAAGGATTTACTTTTACCCAAGAATGTGTTTTATCTTATTCTCACTTCTATTTGCTCCTGTGAGAAAGTTAAAAATATTTAGGGCATGAGAGTTGAGAGTCGTCTGGGGAAGGCATAAGAATGTGGAGTTAAGCAAAGAATAATAAGCTCCAAGGGAAGAATCTGTTTGAAACACAAATACCCTTGCACTTAACAAATTAGCCAAATTTAAAAAGAAAATTCAAAGTCCCTAGAGGTAAAATATGTGCTTCAAACACATACACACACACAATTATACTACGTACTTACTTTAGAAATACTGTTTCCAAAATTATGAAAGTAATTGTTAACACATTTCTATATCCTTGGAAAACGTACCAGACTTCACTAGTGCGTTAATCAGCATTACTGACCAAAGTGAACGAGCCAAGGAGTGGGTTTAATTTTTTAAAAATAATACAACCAGCTTCCTGTCACCACTTCCTGAGAAGCACCAGGAAAAAAATCAATGTCTCTGGGGTTGGGCAGACGTCCACCACACACAAACAAATGGGCTTAAAAAAAAAAATTCAGGTCCCCATTTGTCACTTAAGTATACTTCTCCCTTTTTCTTGTTATCTTTTACAATTTTTGGATAAGCTCAGAAATACTCAGGTTTGGGTCTAAAACAACAGGAAAATACTGCTTTAGATAGTAGCTATTATGCTTTCTTCTTTCAAAAGTGAATGTTCATCATCTAGACACAATACTAATGTGAAAGCACATCGATAATTTCGTTATCACTCAAATCCTTTGGTTCTCTGAGAATGAGAACCAGCATTAAAGCCTCTGAATATACCAAAGACAGGCTTGATGTGGGGATATGAAGGTGCTTTTGACATTCACAGTTAGATCTAAATATGGACAAGAGTGGCATTTGCTTTTAAGATATTAGGTAGAAGCACACTTAAACTTCACAGCATTTCTTCTACTGGTCTACCCAGTCTCTTCACATCCTTCTTGGGTAAAGGCAATGGTTTTTAATATTTCATTTAGGCAGGCGTGGGGTTGCAGCAGAACCAGACCTACAGAACCCCGCCCCCCCACCACCATACACATACACTGTGTCCTGCCAGCGCTCAACCACCTTTCCTCATTTATAAATTCTGAGACCCTCTGAAAATGTTCTAAATTGCAAGATTTAATCATTTCAGTTCTGTTTCTGTTTCTTCGACCCTATCCCCAACATTTCTAATTCTCTAAGTGTGGAATGATTCTGACACAGGTGGTTGAATTCACTTTCAGGAACATTGTTTTCTGACTTTTCAAATGCCATTTTAAATCAGTCCACATATTATGTCCCCTGAGAACACCTTTTAAACATACATATTAACTTTTAGTTTTAAGCAACATCTTAAATGTTCATATTCCTGAAAGAGGACAATAAGTCAGAAAGGGAACAAATCTTAATCCCTCTCATGACATTTTCTCTGCCTCCTCCTCTAGGATATGCTGTCCCTAGTGCAACTGCACCTGTGTCTGCAGCCCAGCTCAAGCAAGCGGTAACCCTTGGACAAGACTTAACAGCATACACAGCCTATGAGGTCTACCCTACTTTTGCAGTGACTGCCCGAGGGGATGGATATGGAACCTTCTGAAGATATCTTTTTCTAAATTTAAGAATAAGACACACAAAACTCTATAAAGAAGAAATAAACTTCTAACTCAGTCCCCTAATGATCATAAGTAATATCTTTCCTAAAACAATGCCTTTCCTAAGACTGTATAGCTTACACTAATTGTAGAATTAGGAAGTGAGAATGTTATTCCAAAATGAAATCAAATGTTAAGGAGCCTTTTGTTTAACAGAAAGCTGGAGAGCCATTGCCCCCAGAAGTTGTTCTTCCAATGTTCCTGAGTGTCCTGGGAGCATGTTTACAAACCCTGACAGAGTAGAGAGACATCTTTTAGCCAGCAGGGGTTGGGGCTGAACAGACCTAAGCAGTCAGTAACAATAAAGGAAAGCCAGGTAAACACCAGTCTTAACCCCTGGCTCACAGCTGCTTCTGTGATACACAAACACAGAGGCAAAAGGAAGGTAGGAGGATGCTTTGCAAAATGCATTCACCATTGCCGACTACGTGGGGGCATGATCCCAGCAGAACTGTGCTCCTGAAAGACTGTCCAAGGTTTGATGGAGTCAGCCATACTGCAGTCTGAAAATTCCATCTAGTCAATTTGTAGTAGATGAGGATCTTTCTGTTCACCTGCAGTCCCTGGGGACTTCCTAGAATTGGATATGATGTGTGGCAGATACAGTTAAAACAAATCCAGGCCCCATTGTTTATTTAACTCATTAGCCCACCCCTATTTTTTCCCTAGAATTCCTACCCTTACCAATAATGGTGCCAATATGAGGTGATTTTTTCTCATCTGAAAAACTTTTACTTGTTCACATTGATTCATTTTCATCTCAGATTCATTTTGCTCATCTCTTATATCATAAAAAAAGTAAATCAAATCTACACAATATCATTTACGATACTTTCTCCTATTCAGCAAATTGGCTGAAAACTCATTTCAAAGACAGAAGTGAAGCTTCGCTCTTATTTTCTTGATCTTTTTGCAACAATCTAGGCCACCATCCAGCATTCAGAGATTCTGTTCTATTAACTTAGGGTTAGCCTTGCATTTACCCATTTACATTAAATCTTCCAAGAAATTCTCTACCTTCCCTTCCTTTTTCTTTCAGTAAGTATCAGGCAACTTTACCCTACCTGAGTCCTTTTGTCTTAAAGTTATCACTGGAAAACCTTACATCCATCACTGCTGATTAGAAATTGTTTCTTCAGACAATCAGCAAGGGTGTTATTATATTTGCCAAAATCCCCTAGTCTTGGGCCTCTTCTCCAGAAACATCTGGTGGTGGAGGAGGAGTACTTCCTACCAAATCTGGAATGGAGGTGAAGAGAAGGCACTACTTTCTTGCCATATTTGTAAATGATTGCTTTGCTCAAAACAGAAACAGTCAAAGTCCAACACCAAATACCTATTATTACTACTCTAGTCTCATTAGTGGTTAAGGCGTACCATACTATCATTTCCATTTTTAAAAACCCCTTGCCACTTAAAAAATTCTACAGAACTCAAGGGAAAACATAAACATAAAGGCACAGAAAATTTTGTCAACTCTTTAATGTTATCCTTTGATACAAAATCAGGCCAGATTCCAATCAAAATCAGGTAAATATCAATCACAGTTAAAAATACCTGTAACCTTTCAGTTCTGTTAACTTCCAGTCAGGTCTCAAAGTCTTCAAAGTTACAGCTGAGACTCTGAAAGGCCTCGCTTTCTGTTTTACATTTAGCTTCTCATACTCCCTGGGGCGGTGGTTTTCAAACTTGGCTGCACATTAGAAACACCTGGAGAGCCTTTAAAAATGCTAATGCCAAGATCACAGCTCATACCACTTACATGAGAATCTGTTGGAGCAGGAGCTTGGCATCAGTATTTTTAAAGATCCCTGGGTAATTTCAATGTGGATCTAAGTTTGGGTACTGCTATTTTCTTGTATTTCCACTCTGTCCCTTAATTGTTTTCCTTTCTATTTCACTTTTATTAAATAGAAAACTGCAAGAAAAAAAATTGTCTCAGTTAAAATAGCCAAATCATATTTTTACATATGTGCATCTCATAATCAGTATGAGTTGGAATAAAATTCATACCAGCTTCAAACTATTAATAACTCTAAAAGTGAAAAAGTAAAAAAATTTCTCCCAAAGCAATTCTTAGATCCAAATTTGCACTCCCCCACAGATCTGCTTTCATTCTCAAAAAGAGTAACTACATTGACATAACAAATGTCCACTGAGGCTGGCAAATTTCTACTCAGCCTAAAAAAGAATTCCAAATTCCAAGAGCAAAAGTTTTGATTTTCCTGAAAATCTTTGAAAATAAGTAGCAAAGTGCATTCTACAAGTCTAGCAATGCAAAATAGAAGGTTTGATCTAAAGAAGTTTTAAATTGATCAAAATGAAAAGATAATTAGTTAATACAGGACTGTCCTTATGAAAAAAATCATTATTCCAGATAAGGTCATAATCACTTTTTTAAAAGATTAAGATAAGAGACCTAAACAAACAATAATGCCAAGTGTCAAGAAAATTGCCACTGGAACACTATCTCATTACTTTGATGGGAAAACACAAGTATTCATGATATTCACCTCCTTAGAAATGCTTTACACAAGTAAGTAGATGTTGGGGGTTTTTTGCTGAAACTTTACTTCATTTAGCAATAATATCTAGAGAATACTTTGAATTTCATTGGAATATCTTCATAGAAAGTGTCAATGTGTCTACATGCCATATGTTTGTTCTTGCTTTCCCCAAGTTAAGAAATATAGAACAAGTCCTGCTAGCACGAGTTTGAAATTATTAAGAAAACAGGCTTTTTGAAATCAAGTGTACAACCAAAGGCTAATTTTGCATAATGTTTATATTTTTAGACTTAAGAAATTAGCACCTATTTAAGACCTTGATATCTTCTGCATCACTATTCATTTTTGTTATTTCTTACTTGCCTGCTTCTTAATTCTTCATGGAAAAAATTAAAATTAGTCAGCCAACCAAGTGATAATAACAAAACACCCAAAACAATAATTTAGAAACATCTAGTAAATTAGAATTGGATTTCCAAAGCTTGGTAATTAATAGCTTATTGAGAATTAAAATCAGTCTGATGTTACTTAGGAGGAAATGGAACAGCAATGAGATTAGGTATCTATTTTCTTACCTGTAAAAATGCTGCCCTTTCTCAAATTGCTTTATTTCTCTCCCACCCGATTAATATAGCTTGAAGGGCACCTTCAGCTGCCAAAAATGTAATTCTCCTGGATGACTAGGATACCCTCCAGTATCATGCCAAACCACACTAGGTTTGGGTAACAGCACCCAAAATGCTGCTAGAAAGCTACCTCACGTTAAGAAAATATTGACTTCAAAACATATCTAACAACAGAGGATCTATTTCCAAGCCATAGTTTTCAAAGGTGGAATGGAAATTAAATTATAACTATGTATTAATAATAGCTATGCAGAAAACAAGTTTTTGTTTTACTTTAAGGGTTTTTAAGAAAAACGTATTCTTCCACTTAGATAAGCAAAATATTGCATGAGTATAATTTTCAATTTACATTAATTTTTGGTATATTTTCAATGACTCTATTTTATAATTCTGTCTTCGACCACTGAGCCATGGTTAGAATCCACATAGACAGGGTGCCATTTGTAGAATAAAGGATAATAAAGAAAGTTAATATTTTCTTTGCATTCAAAGCTACAATGTTTCATAGAGTTTATTATTGTCGAGCAATTCCAGCCCTACCCAAGATATCCGTAAAATAACTTACAACTCAAAGTGAACAATATGCCCAATATTCACATAAAGCCATTGTTATTTTATCCTCTCCTTGCATTCATACAAAAGTTCCCAGGAGAGTGCAAACGTATCTAAAAATTAACCTATAGACTTGGCACATTTTATGTTTTGTAGATACACTTTTATATTGTAAATATATCTGTTAAAGATAAAACTAAGTTTCAAATATAATACTATTGGAAAACTTGGTGATAAATATTTTAAAAGGATATATTAATAGCATAACTTATGAATTTTTATATACTTATTGGAAGACAGAGAGAAGCTAGGTAAAAAGCATTTTTACCTGACATGTAACCACTGTCAACTAGGTTTTGTTAAACTGATTGAAGTAAAATTTCAAAATAAAATGTGACAGTCTAGTAGCATCTTAAAAAATGCTCTTGTTACTAGAACATATTCACAGAAAGTGAAATGTATCCATCAGCCTATACATTTTAATTTGCCAATGTTAGAACAAAGAAACAAGTTGCGCAATAATGAGTGAAACTATTAGAAATACGAGATTTTTCTGACCCTATATCCTATCTCCTTCCCAATGGAATAAAATATTTTTAAAATTTTTTATGAAATAAAAAATGGGTACAGAATATTCTATCACCCCCCCAAACATTCAACATTTTAAAAGCCATTTTTTTCTTACAATGTGTATACACAAAGCATTTGACTGCATAGATTTAGCAATATGTATATTGAACACATAGACTTATTTCAAACTTTGTGTCCCCAGTTCTCCTCAGTTTTGTAGGAAGAATCAAAGAAAACTTTTACTAATGAATTCATAACCAATCTAGAAGGGAAAAAAATCATTTGGAAACCAAAAGCCTTCATTCATTTAAACGTGCCTGAAATAAAATGTGGAACACTTTCGCATCTACCTCTCACTTACGGACTTTTCTCCTATTTTGAGAAATTAAGAATATGCCTTGTCCTCTCTTCTCATATGATACTTTGTCTAAGGGGCGATACCAAGAAACAGCACCTTAAAGACAGTAAGCTGCCCACAAGAACTTCTTGAGGACTGAAGAGTATCAGCCCCACTCAGGGGTTAGCAATGTCTCTCTGGGCTAGGACAGTCCTGACTTACGTCTGTCGTCCCACCATAAATATTAACAATGATCCCTCTTACTCTCAAATGTGCCCCAGTTTAGATAACAGATTATATAGTGCCCTTCTATCTTTATAATTTTTTAAAATCTTGTAGAAGATTAAACTGAAGGGCTCAGCTACTTCTTTCTGACTGGGGCAGGAGCACAGTGAATGAAGAGAAACATCTCACCTTCTCCAAAGTCACCCTCAGTCCACTCCCTACCTACCTGTCCCCTCTATCTAGTTCATTTCCGGTTCTAGTTTTCCTCTCACTCCCCCTGGGCTGT